TGAATGTACAGGCCCACCCAAAATGTTAACCATGACTTTTCCAACTGAATGGCTGATCTTGGCTCATGCCTTACAACTTCCTAAATCCTATCAAACAAGCAACAGCCAGCCTCAGTGAGCTGCCATCCCCTCTACCTCTTGCTAAGTGGCCTCAGGTCTGGTACTAGCAGCAGCCAGCCTAGATTCACACCTTGGATTCACCTGGGAACCTCCAAGCCCATCACAAGTAGTAGCAATCTCAGATTACTCTGTAACTCAGGCAGGTTGGCCCCAGGCAAAACACAGGTGGGGGCTGACCGTGGCCGGCACAACTGAGAAACTCTAAAGCCTATGCACCCCATGGACTATTACTGACATGTCAGAGCACCACCACCCCGCCCCTGCACAACTGATGCTCCAAATATGGTGGAGGCTAGGGGTCAGTGGTCACAGCTAGTCCTTGAAGCTGACTGGCTGCAATAAATCCATCCCATTGACCTGCCAACAGTAACCAAGGCTCACCTACAAGAGGAGAATATACTCAGCCCACACAAAGGGCGCACATTGAGTACCCAGCTTGGGTGATAGGGAAGGCTCTTCCACAGAACGCTACAGGATACACCTACCACATTAGGCCACACTGCTAAGACAGGGAGTCAAAGCAGGTCTACCTAATACATAGAAGCAAACACAGAGAGGATGACAAAATGAGGAGACAAAGAAACATGTCCCAAAATAAAAGAACAGATCAAAACTCTAGAAAAAGAACTAAACAGAGTTCCGGCCAAGATGGAGGCACAGGTAGAAACCCTTCACTTCCTCACACAACCAAAAAGAGGATAACAACCAATCTAAAATCCATAAACAACCAGAAGTGTCAGAAAACCAAAATGCATGAAACTTCAACAACCAGGGAATTAAAGAAACAGTCAACCAGAACAACCAGACTGGTAAGACAGCAGATGGACAGAACACTCAGCAAGGCAGTGGATCATGCAGGTGGGGCTGACTGAATGGGAAACTGAGACTCAGCGCTGACTGTGGACTATGGTGGTTGCTGTGGTGGGAGAAACTTCCAGTCTCACAAGAGAGTTTGTTGGAAAGTGGGATAGAGCAAAACAGGAGAGTTGTATCGTTCCCTCCCTGGCCTCTCCCCCACAGGCAGCGCAGCAGTGCAGCAAGGAGGGTTGCCCTGCCTTTGTGAATACCTAAGGCCCCACCCCCTTACAACTTAACAGGTGCTGCGAGACAAAGAAATGGGGCCCAAATGAAAGCACAAATCAAAACTTCAGAAAGAGAGCTAAGTGATGAAGAGATAGCCAACCTATCTGATGGAGAATTTAAAGCCCTGGTAATTAAAATGCTCACAGAACTGACTGAGCTTGACCGAAAAATGAAAGAACCAATGAAAGATACCCAAAATGAAATAAAGCAAAATATTCAGCCCTGGCTGGCGTAGCTCAGTGGATTGAGCGCGGGCTGGGAACCAAAGTGTCCCAGGTTCGATTCCCAGCCAGGGTACATTCCTGGGTTGCAGGCCATAAACCCCAGCAACCGCACATCGATGTTTCTCTCTCTCTCTCTATCGCCCTCCCTTCCCTCTCTAAAAATAAATAAATAAAATATAAAAAAAAAAAGCAAAATATTCAGGGAACCAACAGTGACAGGAAGGAAACCAGAACTCATAGCAATGATTTGGAGCAAAAGGAAGAAATAAACATCCAACTAGAACAGAATGAAGAAACAAGAATTCAAAAAATGAAGAGAGACTTAGGAACCTCTTGGACAGCCTGAAACGTTCCAATACCCTAATTATACGGGTGCCAGAAGGAGAACAACAACAAGAAATTGAACAAATAATGAAGGAAAACTTCCCCAATCTGGCCAAAGAAATAGATTTCTAGAAAGTCCAGGAAGCTAAGAGTCCCAAAGAAATTGGACCCAAAGAGGAACACCAAGGGTTACATCATCATTAAGTTACCAAGGGTTAAAGATAAAGAGAGAATCTTCAAAGCAGCAACAAAAAAGGAGAGAGTTACCTACAAAGGAGTGCCTATAAGACTATCAGCTGATTTCTCAAAAGAAAACTCGGAGGCAAGAAGGGGCTGGAAAGAAGTATTCAAAGTTATGAAAGGCAAGGACCTTCATCCAAGATTACTCTATTCAGCAAAGCTCTCATTTAGAATGGAAGGGCAGATAAAGTGCTTCTCAGATAAGGTCAAGTTAAAGGAGTTCTCCATCACCAAGCCATTATTATATGAAATGTTAAAGGGACTTACCTAAAAAAAAAGAATATCAAAACTATGAACAGTAAAATGACAACAAACACAACTATCAACACATGACCACCCCCCCAAAAAAAGAAAAACAATGAAAACAAAAACTAAGCAAACAACTAGAACAGGAACAGAATCAGAGAAATGGACATCACATGGAGCGATTTCAGTGGGGAGGGAGAAGGGAGGAACAGGGGGGAAAAGGTACAGGGAAGAAAAAGCATAATTGGTAGGCATAAAATAGATGGGGAGAGGTAAAAAAATAGTATAGGTAACAGAACTCAAAGAACTTATGTATACAACCCATGGACATGAACTAAGGTGGTGAATGCTAAAGGGTTGGGGGGTACAGGGTGGAGGGGGGATAAAAGGTGAAAATTTGGGAAAACTTTAATAGTATAATCAATAAAATAAACTTAAAAAGAAGAACTAAGCAAAAGTGATAAGCAATCTATCAGATGCAGAACTCAAAACACTGGTTATAAGGATGCTCAAGGAACTTAGTGAGGATCTCAACAGCATCAAAAAGATCCAGTCAGAAATTAAGGATTCACAGACTAAAATAAAGAACAATTTACAGGGAAACAATAGTAGACAGGAAGAAGCCAAGAATCAAATCAATGATTTGAAACATAAGGAAGCAGAATTGCTAATCAGAACAAGAAAAAAAAAGAATAACAATAAAAAAAGATGAGGCTAGTGTAAGCAGCTTCTGGGACAATTCAAGCAATCCAACACCCATGTCATAGAAGTGCCAGAAGGGGAATAGAAAAAGCAAGAAATTGCAAATTTATGTGAAAAAAATAATGACACTAAGCTTCCCTAATTTGGTGAAGGAAATAGACATGCAAGTCCAGGAAGCACAGAAAGTCCCAAACAAGATGGATGCAAAGAGGCCCACTCCAGATCATAATCAAAATGCCAAAGGTTAAATATAAACAGAGAATCTTAAAAGCAAGAAGATAAAGCAGTTCATTACCTACAGAGGAATTCCCATAAGACTGTCAGCTGATTTCTCAACAGAAACTTTGCATGATAGAAGGGATTGGCAAGAAATATTTAAAGTCATGAAAAGCAGGACTTACAGTCAAGATTGCTCTAACCAGCAATCATATCATTTAGAATCAAAGGGCAGATAAAGAGCTTCCCAGACAAGAAAAAAACTAAAGGAGTTCACCATCACCAAACCATTATTATATGAAATGTTAAAGGGACTTATTTAAGAAAAAGATCAAAACTATGAAAATTAAAATGGCAACAAATACATATCTATCAACAATTGAATCTGAAAACCAAACTAAGCAAACAAGAAGAACAGAGACAGAATCTTGTACATGCAGAGCGTCTTGATGGTTGCCAGATGGGACGTGTGTATTGTGGAATTGGTGAGGAGATGAAGGAATTAAGAAGTACAGTAAGTTGTTAGTGAATTCCTATAGGGATGTAAAGTACAGTACAGGAAACAGAGTAGCCAAAGAACTTATATGCATGACCCATGGACATAAGTAGTGGTGTGGGGATTTCCTGAGTGGGGGTGCTGGGTGGAGGGGGACAAAGGGGAAAAAATTGGGACAACTGTGATAGCATAATCAAAAGGTACAATTAAAAAAAAAAAAGGCATAACCTGATGTGGACTCCAGCCCCTGGGATCTGTGCGTTGTGGCTGCAATGAACAAATCCACACGGACTACAGACGTCCTGTGGAGAAAAAGGGATGGCATGGCTGCTCTCTAAGTGAGAGAGAGGGCCCTGACCCCTGCCTGGACAGGCTTTTATTGCTTTTCTGGGTACATTAGATCGAGGATGGTCCTCATTTACTAGGCACTGGTTTGCTGTAGGTGATTACCTTTTACAGATAACAAAGGAAAGAATGTTGCTAATTATTTCAAAGAGAAGGATGTTTCACCTGGCTGGTGTAGCTCAGTGAATTGAGCGCGGGCTGCGAACCAAAGTGTCGCAGGTTCGATTCCCAGTAAGGGCACATGCCTGGGTTGCAGGCCACGGCCCCTAGCAACCGCACATTGATGTTTCTCTCTCTCTCTCCCTTCCCTCTCTAAAAATAAATAAAATCTTTAAAAAAATTTTAAAAAAAATAAAAAAAAAGAGAAGGATGTTGCAGATCAAGGGGAAAAGTAGTTGAATTGGTTACACTCCATACTTGGGAGGTTTAGCATAGACTTTCGGAAGTTACTTTAGAGATATGCAGTAAACATTTGCTGCCTCAATCCAGGGGAAAGGAGTTTTAGCAAAAGCAAGTTTCATAGCAGCCTAGGTAAACAATGCAGGCCTGATTCCCCACGGGAGAACCTATCTGTGGGTGTGGGTCCTGTGTGCCCACTTGCTCCCTGTCAGTTTTCTGAATCAGGGGCTGGGCTACATTCCCCACCGCCATTCTGACAGATTCCCTATAATAACCCATACAACTTTAAAAAATGATAAATTGGATTTCATCAAAATTAAAAGTTTTTGTGTTAAGAATAAAATGGGTCTTCCCTGGCTGGTATGACTCAGTGGATTGAGTGCCGAACTGCAAACCAAAGGGTCACTGGTTGGATTCCTAGTCAGGGCACATGCCTGGGTTGCAGGTCAGGTCCCCAGTTGGGGGTGCACGGGAGGCAACCACACATTGATGTTTCTCCCCTTCTCTCTCCCTTCCCTTCTCTCTAAAAATAAAAAAATAAAATAATTAAATGGACCCATTTCTCCATCTGCAAGGACGTTGGTGTTGAGGAGAATACAACTATCATGTCTTCCAGTGCTTTGACACAACCTGAGATGTGTGGCCTCTTGGCCAAGCATCTGCAATTTCATCTTTTTGGAGCTATGCTTGTATCCCTGGGGGTTGTAGCTTCCTGTAAGTTTGGTCTGGCTGAAAAAAGAAAGAAGGCATATGCAGATTTCTGCAGAAATTATGATTCCAGGAAAGACTTTGAGGAGATGAAAAAGGCTGGTATCTTTCAGAGTGCAAAGTGATCTTGGAATGTAAAGAATTTCTTTGGGGTGAATTCCATGGAAAGTTGTCACTGGCCTGTGTTCCTGAACTATGAAACATGAATATTTGAGCTAAGAAAAAGTCTCTTTTGATAAATAAACAATACCAAAGAAATAATGAAATGACTGACCTCCACTTGGTGTGACTCAGTTCATTGAGGACCAGCCTTTGAACCAAAAGGTCACCAGTTTGATTTCCTGTCAGGGCACATGCCTGGGTTGTGGACCAGGTCCTCATTTGGGTCATGTGAGAGGCAACTGATGGATGTTTCTCTCACACGTCAATGTTTCTCTCCTCCTCATTCTCCCTCCCTCTCCACTGTCTGAAATTACTGGGAGAAAAAATTTGCAAACTGTCTCACAAAGAACCTGTGTCTAGAATATACACCTGAAGAACTCTTCAAGTTCAACAATTAAAAAGAATCTAATAATAAAATGGATAAAAGGCATAAATAGACATTTCACCAAAGAGCATATATGGATGGCAGATAAGCACATGAAAGATGACCAACATCACTAACCATGAGGGAAATGCAAAACAAGCAAACAAAAACTACAAAACAAAAATCCACTCCACACCTGCTAGGTAAGTAAAAACAAAAACTTGTGACAATCCCAAATCCTGGTAATGTCAAGAAACTGGGATTTCTTATACATTGTTGGTGAGGATGTAAAATAATTTCAGCAACTTGGAAACAGTGTGGTAGTTTCTTATAAAACTAAGCATATACATAATACACTACCCACCAGTCACCACAGCCAGAGAAATGAGAACTTACAAAAACTGATACAGAAATATTCATAGCAGTTTTATTTGTAATAGCCCCAAAGTGGAAACATCCCAAGTATCTTCAACAGATGAATGGGTAAACAAGCTGATATGCCCCCAACAATAAAAAGAAACAAACATTGATACATGTAACAATGTAATAATATAATGGTTTACGGGCACATATTACTCTGTGGGAGTAGGGGAGAGTCATTTTCAAAAGATTACATAGTGTTTAATGCCATTTATAAAACTAGTTGAAATGGCAAAATTATAGTGAAGAACAGATAGTGGATTCCAAGGGTTAGGGGCAGTAGTGGAAGAATGTGGTGTGACAATAAATAGTACAAGAGTTCTTGTGTGACAATGGAACAGTTCTGTATATTGTGTTGGTGGTTACGTGAATCTATACATTTGATAAAATTGTGCAGAACCACACACACAGACACACGTGTAAACTGGTGAAATCTAAGTAGGGTCTGCAGTTCAGTGTTAATGTACCAGTGTTGGTGTCTCAGTTTTGACAAGTGTACCATGGTAGTGTTAAAATGTTAACATTAGGGGAAACTGAACAATGAGTAATCAAGGAGGTCTCTACTACTGCTTTTGCAACTTTACTGTTACTGTAAGTCTAGCATTATTCCAACATCAAAACTTACTTTTGGCTCTGGTTGGTGTGGCCCAGTGGATTGAGTGCCAGCCTGTGGACCAAAAGGTCGCTGGTTTGATTCCCAGTCAGGGCACATGCCTGGGATGTTGGCCAGGTCCCCAGTTTGGGGTGTGCAAGAGGCAACTGATCTATGTATCTCTCACACATTGATGTTTCTCTCCCTCTTTCTTCCTCCTTTGCCCTCTCTCTAAAAATAAAAAACTAAAATCTTTTTTAAAAACCTTATTTTTAAAATAGCAAAGATTTTTTTTTAAATGTAACACCACTATGAGAATGGTTACAATTAAGGGAGAAAATAGCAGGTAGGTGATGTGTGGAGTAAAACTCTATATCCCAGTCATTTTACTCTAAGGTTTCTACCCAGGAGATACAGATACATACAATAAAAAAAATGCTCTAGAATGTTTATAGCAGCTTTATTCGTAATAGTCAAAATTGAAAAGTCCAAATGCCTATTTACAAAGTGAATAAACTGCAGTATATTTATACAATGTAATACTACACAACAGTATGAATGAACAAACCACATCATGCAACAAATATGAATTACACAGACATCATGTTGAGTCAAAGAAGCCAGACACAAAAAACTACATATTATTCCATTTATTTGAAGTTCAAAAACAGGTCAGAAGAACCTATGGTGTCAGGACAGTGGAGGTCATTGGCATGGTGGTGTAATGGTGGGGAGAGGGCACACATGCATGGGGCTTCAGTAGTGCTGGTGATCTTCCAATTCTTGATTTCTTGCTGTTGTGTGTGTGTGTGTGTGTGTGTTCGGTGTGTGAAAAGTAACAGCTGAACACATGATTTATGTACTTTTCTGTATGTAAACTATACTGCAATGAAAAGTTTACCAAAAAGGAAATAAACACAAAATGAGAAACCACTACACACTCATTAGGAAACCTAAAATTAAAAGGACTGACAATACCAAACACTAGCAAGTATGTGGAACAACTTAAAATTTCATTTACAGGTAGTGAAAATATACATTAGTACAATCACTTTGGGAAAGTGTTTGGAAATATCTATTAAAGCTGAATATACACATACCCAACAATTCCATCTGATTATATAACTAACAGGAAGCTGTACATATGTTCTTAAAAGACATGTGTAAGAATGTTCATAGCAGTATTCTCCCGGACTGAAAACCCAAATGTCCTTCGATGCTGCTGGAGCCTTCTAAGATCAGTTATAGCCCAGAACTGCAGGGAAGTTAACCTCCTTGTGGCAGCACCCCTCAGTCAATGGGGAACAGGAGCCAGTAGATAAATACTCCAGCTTCCTGTTCTCCCATCCTTTAGACAGGAATACCAATTCTGGGAAGCATTAGTATCCAATCTCAATAACAAACCCTTATATTGGATTTCCCTCCAAAACTGACTCACTTTTCTCACCTCCTCATTGTCTCCTGGAATCATCCCCCAAACTACTCCATTTCAGGGGAAGCCCAAACATCAACAATAAGGTACTATTCCATCTACATATAACTCAAAAACGAGCAAAACCTATTATGGTGACTGACGTCAGAGTAAGGGTTGCCAAGTGGGGCAACAAGTGGCGAGGGCACAAAGGAGGGTTCTGGGGTGCTGGTAATATTCTCTACCCTGAGCAGGATGGTGTTTAAATAGACATGTTCACTTTGTAAATCTTCATTGAGCTATATGCTTAAGTATATGCATCTTATTATATGTATACTGTAATTTTTTTTGGATAATGTCCATTCTCTCATCCTTGGTATCAGATACAAATTATTAAGGTATTTGTTGGAAGTGGATGTTGGGAGAGGAGTGTGAAATTACATTACAATGAAAACAGGGCCACTGAAATTCACCTGTAAGAATGCACCCCCTTGAGACAGGCACAGGGCATTACACCACCAGGTGTGTTTTATAAGTTGACTTTCTTCAGCCTTGACATTCCTGCTGCGGTCTATTTTCAAGACTTTCACCCTGGGCTAGCCTTCCTCTTCTTCCTTCCCCTTTCCCATTAGGCATATATTTATGTTTCAGACACTATGTTAAGCACTTGGGATATTAGTGAACACTAATAGATGTGGTTCTTGCTTATCGAGTTCTACTCTAATAAGGAAAACATATCAAATATACAAACTGATGAGTATAATGGTAATTAGTGCTATTACCATAGCACTAGCATAGTTTATTAGCATAGTTTATTGACCTACTTAAGAGAGGTGGGGTGGGCTTCCTGAAGGAAGCAACACTTGAGCTCAATTCTAAGGATGAACAGAGGTTAACTAGGAAATCAAGTAGGTGAACAAAGATGGAGGGGGAGAGAACAGAGAGTAAGAGGGACCAAGTCCAATATGCTTTGGAAGAGGCAGCATATGTTAGGCTGGGCAGATGAGCAAGGGGAGCCATTTCTGGCCACATAAACTTTAAGTTTGTCATTACCCTAAGGGCAATGAAGCCAAAAGGGTTTTAGGCTGAGAAGTACCATAGGTGTTTTGAAAAGATCACTATGGCTCTTTTGTGAAGTGAGTGGAAAAGGATCACCATGGATGTGGACAGACAGGTTACTACAGCGAGCCGGGGGCAAGGTGCTGGTAGCTTGGACTGGGATGGCAGCATTCAAGATGAAAACAATTGAACAGATATTTAGAATGCACATGAACGAACTTTAATTACAGCTGTAAAATAGAACATGTCTTTATTTCTGACCTGAGCATGTATACTCGTGTGTTTACATCAGCAAATACAGGAGAATGCATTTTGTTAACCTTGGTCATTAGCCTTATTTCACTAGTCCATTTCTTTGTTAATAGGTGTGTGCCCACGTTGCAACTGAAAATCGTTCCAGGCCATGTTGTGCCTGGAAATTTCCTTAAGCTGCTAAGCACAAAATTTTTGAAGAATGGAACTGAAAATTACCATAAAGTTGCAAAAAGGTGCAGGGTAGGGGAGGACATGGCTATGGAATCGCCAGTGAAGAAATAATACCTAAAGGGCACTGCAAGGAAGACAAACGGAAAAACCAGTGTACAGGAGGCAGGCACGAGGCTTGGTGTAGGTTAAAACAGAATTCCTCAAGACACACCCAAGCTAAGATAATGCTTCCTGATGTCTGTAGAGATGTAGGGAAAATTAACCTTTGAGTCATCTACATGAAGACTGCAGACTCTTTGGCAAAGTGAGGGACTCTGCTTGTTGGGTGGGGGGGGGGCGCATTCATATTTTCAAGTAAAGATGTATATTCTTATTCTCAGGTGAGTGCTTAAGAGGGTAAGTTAACATAAACTTCAGGAGTGCTGCCACGAGCCTGATCCACAGGCTGAGGGGCAGACAGTGAGGCCCAGGCTATGTTCCCAGGTAGTTGCTGGGCCCTACCAGAATGGATCGGTACTGTATGTCCAGGTCAGAGGGAATGAAAACAGTTAACAGCACACCAAGGCACCGAGGCAGTCAGATAATGGTGGGGAAGTGAAGAGACTGCTACTTCCCCTGGGATATAGATTCTACCAAGGGCTGCTTCTCTTTCTGCTCAAGGCAGACACAGAGAATGCCGGAAAATTGCTGAGGGGTCAGTCCAGCCAGGGTGGGGACCAGCCAAAGACAGAGCAGTCCACAGCACTTCCAGGAGTTACATAGTCAACTTTCTGGCAACCAAACCCCAGTGGTTACTGGGACCTTGGGAATGACTTAGCTGCTGCTACCAAACAGCTTTTGTGGAGAGCTCAAAGTTCTGGGGAAGGAGCAGGATTGGCTGGATGAAGAAACTAACAAAAAGTACTGTCTAAATAGGGAGAGAAATATTCTGCATGAGGTTGAACTGGTATTTGGCTCTGGCTGGCTACTTAGCAGATCACCTGAACCTTTAAGTACCCTGGTTGGGTAATTTCCCCCTGCAGGGCCAAGAGGGGCTTTGAAGCTATCTCACACCTCTCTGGAGCAAGTAGCCTCTTCATCAGATGTTAACCAAGGACCAAGCTAGGTGGAAATGGGTGGAAGTTTGGGTCATTGAACAGGTAGGTTTTCAGGCTCACATCACCCCACCCCCACCACTCATGTTCAAATTCACACCAAAAATTCATTATTGTGGCAAGCTGAGTCAATTTGTCTCCTTGAACCCCTTTCCCATTAATCGATCCTTTCAGTATAAAGATCAATCTTTCTTAGGACTCTCGCAATGACACTGCCAGGGGCTTCTAATGGGCCACACAGGCATCAAGGTACAGGGCCAAAGTTGTGTGATACAAGTATTGTCCCAATAAAGAGGGATTGTTACAAGACAGCTGGAAAGCTTATGTTGTTTTAGGTAGAAGAGATGGCTTAAAATAACAGTTCTGGGTGCCCCAGGAAGAGCTAAGGAAAATGGATGGAAGAGACTATACTCTAGATCGCTACATCGCTAAAGCCCAACTATGTTGCATAAAATAGCATTTCAGCTCTTCGGCAATTTTCCATGTTTTTTTTGTTTAGTTGTTGTTTTTGCAGCTGTTAAGTCTATGAAACCACTCTGGTACATAACAGAAATGGTGAGAATTTTTTGAAGTTTGAGAAGGTGCTGGTATCCTAGAGTCTTACTATCATTTTCTAGGATTCAGGAAGCGGGTACAGAACACACCATTTCCTTCTAAGGTGCAAAAATCCTAAATCAGATCGTAAGTTGAAATGTTGGTGCTACTATTTAATAACTATGGGGCTTTAAACAAGGTACTTAATCTCTGAAACTCTTTGAGACATAGGAGTTTACTACTCCCACACATCTGTCACAGGACCATATTATGAGACTCAAGACTATATATACAATGTTAGTTTAAATGCTTACCCAAGCATCACACTGGATGCACATATATAAAACCCTCTGTAAATGGTAATACCTGCCTTGGGTTTCAGGTAGTACCTGACAAGATGGGTTCCCACTTAAATTGTTATAAAGGTGTGACCAACATGGACTAGGCCTACAGCTGTAGATGTCCTCACACTAGTTAAAATCTTCAGTTAAGGTCCTAGAAATATGTTTTCAATGTACTCAGCACATAAAATTACCTTGGAAACCGTCACATTTGTTCATATAATTCTGAATTAGTAACCAGTCTCTGTGTAGCCAACTCCTGTCACACTAGCCACAGGGTTAACTACACTGGTCAATGCATTATGGAACATTTTCATCATCAGAAAATTCTACTGGGAAGTGCAGTAGTTTCAAGAGTGGTGGGCCAATCAAGTTGGGCTTTAACACATTTCCCTGAAACCTCAAACAGTAAGGACTTTTGTCTCTCCCTCAACACTAGCTTCTTTCTCACCTTTACTCCTTTCTACACGCCTCCCTAGGTGCTTTCTATACTTTAGCCACAGATTTCAATGCAGATACTCTCACCCTTTGAACAGATTATAAAAAAAAAAATCAACACCACTGTTTTTTCTTACTACAAGCACTCAACACACGCCACACATTACATGAGCATTCTTTTACTTTTGTATCAGTAGTCACCCACAGATAAGCTCTCTGAAAGCCCTTTTTCAAATTCTTCCCTTCTACCATATTTACTACAGAAAGGGCACAACGTTTTGCCTCTTGGTGCAGTGGTTCCCCATGTCGGTAGCAAACTGAAATTACAGCAATTGAACGATGATGCCAGAGTCCCAATGACCAAGACAATGTCTGGTGCACACACCTGGGAATCAGGACTTTAAAGCTCCCTTGGTAATTTCAATGCACAACCAAGATTGAGAAACACTCAACAACTAATCTGACAGAATACTAATAATCGTTCTAATTAAAATTTTAGGTTTGTGAAAGGCCTGTAAGAATTGTATTTGTACAAGTCAATTTCTGCCATTCTTTCAAAACAACTTTTTTCACTCAAGCTTTTATTCCTGTGTGACCTTAAAAAAAAAAAAATAGTATGGCATGCTCAGGACTGGAACGGTGAGAACCATGCCTCCTTAACCTGATTTGTCTTGGGCTTCAACTCCTGTTAGGTACCGTTTTCGGTTGGCGTTTACCCCATCATACTATCCCTTCTCTCCTCCCATTGTCTTGTATTTCTATTTTAAGCAGTGGGGAAGTGAAGAGGACTAACTTTAACACTTTATAAACAGATTCTGCTCTTCATAATTGGGGTGTTTGTTAACCCCTAAAGCCACTTATACAACCACATGCTGTTTTCAGGCCTTCTCTTTGGTTTACTTTACTTCATTAGTATTAATTTAACAAAAATTCAAACTTGGAATTTTCCAACACCCCTAATTTAGTCTCCTTCAAACACCTGGAATTCTCTCATCCCAGTCAAGATATAAATCTGTATCCAGCCCTTTCTCTATAATTTGACTACATTTTAAATTTATACCACTCTTTCTAAACAGTAAAAACTCTCCAACGTAGTGACCATTTATTAGTCAAACACCACAGTATAATCAATGCTGTTCTCTTTAAGGTACAGCACTGATAAACTGAGGTACTTCTAAAGTTATTTAGTCCATACTGCATATTACACATAACTTATTTACTGGTCACTCTCACTTCTGTCATAGCTGTTTTACTGTTAACTGGTTTCCTTTATTTATTAGGGTGCCGTTTCTTTAGTCCTGCTAAATTCAACTGAAATGCATGTTCTTGGTCAAAGTGATCTGAACCAGGGCCCAAATATTCACACTCCATTCGACATTATTGTAGTTCAGCCTTTTTCAACTGGTGTGCTGCAAGAATGTTTAAAACATGCAGCGCCTTATTTAAATAGTCAGGGGGTTCTGACATTTCCCCCCCATAGATTGTCAAACAAAAAAACGACAAACACAGCAATAGCCATCCAGTGTGAATGATCAAAATTATACCAATTTTCTTGTCACCCTGACAAAAAAAATATATTTTTGGTGTGCCGCAGAGTTTTAGGGATTAGTTTATGTGTGCCATGAGATGGAAAAGGTTGAAAATTGCTGGTGTAGTTAATTTTCCTTGTATTACATAAAAGGTCAGATGTCAGTAGGAATGTTTATGTGGCTAAGTCCTTCATTTTCCCAGGTCACAGTTAATCACGACACTTTGTGGTTTTCTCCTGAAAATTAGTACATCACAGGCCAGCTACATAGTCTTGGAACAAAGTGAGTCTTTCAACCAATCTCATTAAATACATAGTTATTTCCTATTCCCCAAGTATTTCTATAATGAAACCACCATTTCATCTACATTACCTAAACACTAGTTACTTGTACAGTTTGCCATCTGTTGTTTTACTTTCCTTGGCATAGTCCTGGACTTGGCTGCTGAAATGTCCAATAGATTCCTTCAACATTTTATGGTACTGTATGGCTCAAATGATAGCCATTTTGCTTCTACTCCTTCCATTACATTCTCAATCCTCATTTATTCCCTTCCAATTTACCACAATCTTCTTGTTCCTGTTGGCGATATTTTTCTTTTGTTATACCTACTTCCCTCTGTAAGAGGCTTTACATCCTGCACTGACTGGCGCTAATCTTATAATCTTTGCAGGCTTCAGGTGTTAGGGTAATATCTGAACTAAAATATACTAGGAATCCTCTTTTCAACTATGAAGACATTTAGCCTAATGAATAGCCTAAGATCTAGAGTATAAAATGATTCTTCCCTATCAGGACAACCTAGACTCACCCTGGTACTTTTATCAATAATCTTGTGTGCATGTAGATTTTCTGAGAGTGTATTACCACTTCTCTAGCTATTAAAAAAGAGCCGAGCCCTTCCCCAGTTTCTTCCAATATTTGATTTCAAATGGAATTAAAACTGGACACTTTCATGCCTGGACTAATTGGTCGGTCTAGTATCTTTTAGATACTGATGACTAACATTATAATCCTAAATAGGTTTTATTAGAGCTTTAGAGCCTTAACCCTTTCTAAGCTTCCAGTTTTATTTTCTCATGAGTTAGTTATGTGCCAGAAGTGAGTTTGTGTAGCATATGAAATGACACTTAGAAAACAAGGTGGGTAAAAGTATTTTTGACCAAATTAACACACAAACTACTATTATACTGTGGATCTCAGATCTAAGGGCAGTCCATAATTCAGCCTCTCTCTATTCTGCTTTATTACCTGTTAATATAAAATCATTGCAATTAATTGAGAGGGGCACAAAAAGTTAGTTCATATGGGTTGAACTAATTGGAAATAAAATAAATGTATAACCCTCACTATAGTTACCTGGGAAAGAACTTTTCTATTTTCAGTAACACCAAGGAAAAAAACCTCAGAATCCAGAAAATAAATAGGGCTGATAAGTAGCAATTAAAAGGACAAAATGGAAGAAAATAAGTTTTATTCTTCAGTTATTTCAATTTCCCTAAAATCTTAACATGTTCGAACCTCATCTGTTTAAGGATGAAACAATTTAGCACAACAAAAATCTCAAAAAGGGCACCAACTAGACCACAAAGCATTGATGAAAAGGCTTAATGTATTTCCCAACTTTTTTCATTAGGACACAAAAGCAATTTTGCAACACTCTCCACTCCACACCAAAGTTCCTTGTCTCCTTAATAAGAACACCCGCCCCAATGAAGTATAATTTGAGCAGTGTGTATTGGTATGCATAATAGTGACTAAGACTCAAAGAAAAATATACATTCTAGGGGTTTTGTGGAGGCCACAGTGAAACAAAAGAATTTGAAATAAACAATTATAAAATACAAAAATAAAAAAACCAGGGTTTTTCTCTCCAAATTCCTGGTTTAATAAGGATGTGTTTATTGTGAGAAAAAAGGTCCCAAACATCAGGCTGTTCACAAAAATAACCCACAGTATCAACTTTAGAAAACAAATCTTAAGACTATTACACTAATTATTTTCCTAGAGGATGCATTTGACATGCCAACTCTCATTCACAAAAATACATCGTTACATTTGTGTTGAAGAGCCCCATGTATGCTACATACATGGGGTTAACACATACACCTCTAACTCAAAGCTGCTCTCAAGGTGCTACTCAACTAATGAGATTGCCTTTGCAGTTAGGGAAGCAACTACTGAACTCATACATGAATGAAAAGAACTGTACTCCCTGCATAACAAGAGATTATTTTGGAGACAGTTGATAAAAACCATACATCCTTTTTATTGTTAAGTCGTAAAGAGGTATCAAAATTAAAAGCGAAAATTACAGGGTAAGACTTAACTACTAGGAGCGTCAAAGGAAGTGAAAATGGGACTAGGCGCAGGGCAATATGAATTAATGAACATGGGAGGAACAAGGATGGGGAGAACAGTGAGCATGTGCTGAAGATACTAGGGGAGAGGATCTGGTGAAAATTTTGATCTTAGACAAGCGCCTAGGTAAAGAAATAATGGGACAAGATTTCTAAACCCCACTATGTGCTTAAGAGTCATCCTCGCCATTGGCGCTGTCTCTGTCATCCTCTCCTTCCTCAGCCTCTTTTTCATCATCCTTGATCAACTCCAGCTGTGAGAAACAGACACAAATAGGATGGAGTTAGAGGCACTCCATGTGTCCCTGATCCCCCCTCCACCACCTCTTTCTTTCCTTTCCCGTGGTTTTCACCTGGTCATCCCCCCGATCTTCATTATCATCATCATCCAGTAGGTCCCCCTCCTCAGCAGAGTCATCTGCACCCCCCTCAGACTCCATCTTCACATTAGTCTCATCTTTCTTCAGGGAGCTGCTGCTCTGCTCCTCTTCTGACTTATCATTCTTCATCTCTACTGCGGATGAGAAGGACAAGTCTGTCTAGGGCCAAGTAATGTCCCCAGGATGTAGACAATCCCCACTAGTAATCACAGAACTGCAGCACAAGTCTAAATCCTCCCACACAAATGCCCTTCCCCAATTACACTCCCCAAGTTTCATATTCAATTGCTTTACACCCCACTATTCCAACAGATACTTTCAACTCTCTTAGGTACAAACCCAACTCTATACCCAGAAGCAGCAGTAACATTTACCTCCTTGTTTGCTCTGTTCCTTTTCAATTTTTTCCAGGCTTTCCAGTAGAGAATCCACTTTTTGTTTTATCTGGGTCAATTCCTTCTTAATGGCCTGAAGATCATCTCCTTTCACTTTTAATATAAACAAAAATAGGTAAGAATCAAGTGTACCAGAAGCTACCAGTAATCAAACACATTCCCACTACATTATACACCAGTAGTCAACAGGAGATGCCTGGGGAGAAACAGCACCAGTGTCAGACTGTCTCAGTCTGACATTTTGGTATTTTATAGTTGAAAAAGGAAAACAGAATCTAATGTGCTTACTTCATTACCAGTAACATTCTAACTTTTGTCGCCTTGCTCAAGACCTTAATTCCCATTTAAAATACGTTCTCAGTACAGTTTTACTGACATATATTTGATAAATTTAACAGGTGCCTCAACTCCCTGAAGTCTAATAACTTCATTCAAATTACCAGGGTTATAAAGATAGAGGGCAGTCTAGAATTGCTCCCTTAATCACTATCTTCTCTTTTATTATTTTGATTATGCAAAGGCATTTGCAGAAAACTGCACAGTAATGGCATTATTTTCCCTATTTCAACACAGAAGAAATACCACAAAGGTGTGATAATAATACGTACATTTTCCAGACTTGGAAGAAGATCCTCGCTGTCCACTCTTAGAATTGAAGCCACTTTTGCCTCTTCGTGAGGTGTTTCCTGATACACGCTGGCGTTTCGAGGGCACTACAGCCCGAGCAATAGGAGGAGGAGGAGGAACACGTGCTGGGTAACTGTACATCCTATTGGATAAGAAGAAAACAGAATGCCTTCACAACTAAATTAAGTCAGCAAGATCCAAGAGCAGTGACTTATAAAATAAATTAATATCTATTATATAGTCTAAATTATTTCTTTTTTGCTAATTTCATTCAAAAGGCCAGTAAAATTTTCCTTTGGTATTTTAAATACCTAAGCTACTTTTCTTCAAGAAAATACTATATATACACACAAACACCAAATGATATGGTTGGATGGCCTTATGCAGTGGACATAAAAAAGGTTCCTCTGTAGTATTAACAAAGCTATTTTTTTTTTTACAGTGAATGGCCTTTATCTTGCCCTTATTCTTTTCATATATATGCTACAATAAACAATTCATGTAAGCCAAAAGTACATACATACAAAATGGGATTGTAATTAACTGAGTCTGTGAACAGACATATTATTAGCTAAATTCCTAATCTCTGCACCACAGAAGCATAAAAAATCATCATTACTAGTGACTATTAGGGTGAACCATATAAAAACTTGACAGTATTAACCATTTCTGGTTTATAAAAACAAACAGCCACCTCATGCATGTTAGCTGGGTATAAAATACCACTACCAATTCTAACAACATTTAAGCATAAGCTCTACTCAGCTCCAAAATGGCAAAGAATATTGTCAGTCTTATTCACTATTCACTAATCATTAATACCTAAATCCATTACCCAGCACACATTCTGCTCTCCAAAAAATAAATAAAATAAATCAAATCAAATCAAATCACTGGTTACTGAACTGCTGCTTCCACTGGTAAGAATCCCAGCAGTTGCTGAAGATACACCCAAGTTCCCAGGTTACAGCTTGGTATATTTGGTAAAGACAAACTTCAAAGTTTAACCAAAAACTTCTTACAAGAACACCAATTCTACAGTCTCTACATTCCGTGTCATTTCTACAAAAGCTTGTGGCAGCACAAGAAGGTTAAGACACACCAGTAAGGGGAAATAATCATCTTCTGCTGTACCTTCTAGTAACTAACTAAACTCCAAAGCCCAGGTATTCTATAAAATAAAAACAATCTGCCAACTGCTTCTCTACCTAACTTCAAATGTTTTAAGGAACAGACGTGATATATTCAACAGTTCTGAAACTGTTACAGGCAGAGAACCATAGATAGTTCTGTATTCTTTTCAACCCAATCTAAAATGTTTCCATCCTGTTCCAACACAGTCATACTTTATCTTTTTCTAGGAGTGGTTGTGACAGGAACAGTTTCTTAAGAAAGAACATATGTACACTGTAAAACAAGTGATAAAATGATTGACTAGCCTTCATTTAAGCAGTTTTTAGGCACTGACCAACCTACCATTTTCCCCTTGAAACCAAACAGTACTTGACTTGCCATGTGCCAAAGAATCCATGATGTGGAAGGTTAAGAAAACCTTCACATAATGTCTTGTTTTAAGCTCCAATAAGGAACACTTAAGTCTGAGAACCAGGAAATAAGAAAATCTGTGCTTCAAAAGCAGGAAGGCTTTGGCACTTAATTTCTCCTCAGTAGATAACTGTCAACTAAGCTGTTAATTTGTCAGTTTTAATCAATTTATGGAAATTAACACAAATTTTCACTATTTTATAGAGCTTTTCCTCTTTTGACCTAAATTCTCCTGAGTATGATTCAGAAACTAAAATATCAAGTGTTCAGCAATCACTGTCCTTTGTGCAAGACAAATACTTGAAAAATAATTTCTAGAAGTAAATGAAAGTGAGTTAGTTATCTGGATTTTGGGGCATGAAACAGCTCATACCCCAGTCCTACTGGATTTAAGAGATTAAATCTAACCTACCTCCCCCAACCCACTCACCCTAATTGGTACCAGCCTCCAAACCAGTGAGCCAGGCATTCCAGATTCCCTATACTTCATGGCACTGGAATTCTCTTTTGAACCACACTATTTCACCTGACTCAGGTACAAAGCCGTAATAAAAACTAGGCACAGGACTTCTGGTCAAGATGGCAGTGTAGATAAGACATGGCTCGCCTCTTCACATAACCACATAAAAATTACAACTAAAATTTAGAACAACCATCACTCAGAACAACCAGAAATAGAGTTGAATGGAAGTCTGACAACTATAGAATTGAATAAATCACATCCATCCAGACTAGGAGGAAGGGTGCAGAAACAGAATAGTATCCACTCCATGAGCAGTAGTAGATAAAACTTGGGAGAGTTATCTTAGTAGCAAGGAGTCTCAATCCCCCCAGACCCCCAAGACTTGGGTTCCAGTGCCAGGAAGATAAATCCCCACAACTTCTGGCTGCAAAAACCAATGGGGATTGGATTTTGCAGCCAGAAGCTGGTGGAAGAAAGTGCTGATGTCCCAAGCCGTTCCTCTTAAAAAAGAGCCCACACAGGGACTCACCTACTCAGATTCACTCCCTCTGAGTTCCAGCACTGCAGTAGTAACTTGAAAGGCACTAGTGGTATGAAGGGAGAACTGAATGAAGTTTCTGGCATCAAGGTGAACAGAGGCCATTGTCCCTTTTCTAAACTCTCCCCGCACAGAGCCAGCAAGCTGGTGCCAAATCTGAGATTCCAGCAACCTGGCTAACACGGTTTTGCCCTCCTTGGAGCTCCCCAGAGACTCTGCCCCTACCCAAGCTGCTTTTCAACACGAATGGCTGGTCTTGGCTCATGCTTCACAACTTCCTAAATCCTCTCCAACTCTGTGAGTCCCAGGCCTGCCACTAGCAGCAGCCAGACTAGATTCACAGCTCAGCTTCACCTAGGAATCTCCAAATCCAGCACAAGTAGCAGCCATCTTGGATTGCTTTATAGCCAGACAGGGTGGCCCAAGGCAAAACACAGTTGAGAGATGACCCTGGCCTGCATCACTGGGGAAACCCCAAGGCTAGGACAGCTATAGACCACAGGAGTACCACCACCCTGCCCCTGCACAGTTGATCCTCCACGGAGGGTAGAGGTGGTAGTAAGTGGTCACAGCCAATCCTTGTACCTGACTGGTCTGAGTAAATCCTTCTCACTGACCTGCCAACAGGAATCAAGGTGTAACTACAAGACAGGGAACTCAGCCCACACGAAGGATGCACCTCAAGTACATGGCTTGAGTGATAGGGGAGACTGTGCCACTGGACCCTACAGGTCACCAACTACATTAGGCCACACTACCAAGACATGGAATCAAGGCAGCTCTACCTAATACATAGAAACAAAAACAGGGAGGCTACCAAAATGAGGAGACAAAGAAACATGGCCACCTTTCAAATGAAAGGACAGAATCAAAACTCCAGAAAAAGAGCTAGACAAAATGGAGATAAATAATCTATCAGATGCAGAGCTCAAAACACTGGTTGTAAGGATGCTCAAGGAACTTAGTGAGGACCTCAACAGCATAAAAAAGATCCAGTCAGAAATAAAGGATACTGTTTGAAATAAAGAACAATTCACAAGGAAACAACAGTGGAATGGATGAAACTGAAAACCAAATAAATGATTTGCAACACAAGGAAGCAAAAAAACAACTTATCAGAACAAGGAGAAGAAAAAGGAATCTAAAGAATGAGGATAGTGAGCCCTAGCTGGCATAGCTCAGTGGATTGAGCGCGGGCTGCAAACCAAAGTGTCGCAGGCTCGATTCCCAGCCAGGGTACATGCCTGGGTTGCAGGCCACAACCCCCAGCAACCACACATTGATGTTTCTCTCTCTCTGTCTCTGTCTCTGTCTCTCTCTGTCTCTATCTCCCTCCCTTCCCTCTATAAAAATAAATAAATAAAATCTAAAGGGAATAAAGAAGCTTCTTTAAAAAAAAAGAAAGAAAGAGAATGAGGATAGTATGAGCAGCCTCTGGGTCAACTCCAAGAGGCCCAACATTTGCATCACAGGGTTGCTAGAAGGAAAAGAGAAAGAGTAAGAAATTGGAACTCTATGTGAAAAAGTAATGAAAGAAAATCCCCCAATTTGGCGAAGGAAATAGACATGCAAGTCCTGGAAGCACAGAGAGTCCCAAACAAGATGGATGCAAAGAGACCCACTCCAAGACCCATCATAAATGCCAAAGGTTAACAATAGAGAATCTTAAAAGCAACAAGAGAAATTAGTGGTACGTACAGCCAAGAGTGCTCTACTCAACAAAGCTGTCATTTAGAATCAAAGGGTAGATAAAGATCTACTCAGGCAAGAAAAAACTAAAGGAGTTGATCGCCACCAAACCATTATTATATGAAATGTTAAGGGGACTTATTTAAGAAAAAAATAAAAACTATGAACAAAAAAATGGCAAAAAATACGTATCTTTCAACAATTGAAATCTAAAAAACAAACTAAGCAAACAGAATCATGGATATGGAGAGCATTTTCACGGTGGCCAGATAGAAGGGGAGTGTGGGGGAATGAGTCAGGAAGTGAGGGGATTAAGAAGTACAAATAGGTAGGTACCGAATAGCCATGGGGAGGTACAGTACAGTATAGGAAATGGAGTAGCCGAAGAACTTATACACACAACAATGGTGGGATTATTTGCCTGAGGGAATTGGGTTTGCTAGGTGAAGTGGGGGGAAAGGGGGAAAAATCAGGACAACTGTAACAGCATAATCAATAAAATATAATTAAAACAAGAGGCACAAAATGCAGCTTTGAGTCTGTGCAAGACTCCATGAACACAAACAGGAGCCAAACACTCTAGTTTTAAAAGAAAAATATATTTAAAAACATCAACCAGTAATGCTGAAGGACTTTCAGTGCCAAAGAACTGAACTGCTGCTTCACAAAAGTTGACTTTGTCTCGAAAAATGTTGAATTGCATGGTTCTGAAAACACAAGGCTGAGAAAACAAAGACAAAAACCATACCTACTGTGATAACCCTTCAAAGATAGGTAATAGCAAGCTCAGTATGACAGCTTCAAAACCAGCTACAAATTAAGTAACCAACCATTTTCCTATGAGAAAGCCATGCAGTAAGCCAGCCACATAAGGCAGCAGCTGCTGATCCCTTACTGACAGATCCCAAGTCATTAAAAAGTCTTCATAAAAATC